ATGGGCATGGCACATGCCGTTAAAGCCCTGATGGGCATGGCACACACCGTTAAAGCCCTGATGGGCATGGCACACACCGTTAAAGCCCTGATGGGCATGGCACACACCGTTAAAGCCCTGATGGGCATGGCACACACCGTTAAAGCCCGGATGGGCATGGCACACACTGTAAAAGCCCGGATGGGCATGGCACACACCGTTAAAGCCCGGATGGGCATGGCAAACACCGTTAAAGCCCGGATGGGCATGGCACACACCGTTAAAGCCCTGATGGGCATGGCACATACCGTTAAAGCCCTGATGGGCATGGCACGCACCGTTAAAGCCCGGATGGGCATGGCACACACCGTTAAAGCCCGGATGGGCATGGCACACACCGTTAAAGCCCGGATGGGCATGGCACACACCGTTAAAGCCCTGATGGGCATGGCACACACCGTTAAAGCCCTGATGGGCATGGCACACACCGTTAAAGCCCTGATGGGCATGGCACATACCGTTAAAGCCCTGATGGGCATGGCACCACACCGTTAAAGCCCTGATGGGCATGGCACGCACCGTTAAAGCCCGGATGGGCATGGCACACACCGTTAAAGCCCGGATGGGCATGGCACACACCGTTAAAGCCCTGATGGGCATGGCACACACCGTTAAAGCCCGGATGGGCATGGCACACACCGTTAAAGCCCGGATGGGCATGGCACACACCGTTAAAGCCCTGATGGGCATGGCACACACCGTTAAAGCCCTGATGGGCATGGCACACACCGTTAAAGCCCTGATGGGCATGGCACATGCCGTTAAAGCCCTGATGGGCATGGCACACACCGTTAAAGCCCTGATGGGCATGGCACACACCGTTAAAGCCCGGATGGGCATGGCACACACCGTTAAAGCCCGGATGGGCATGGCACACACCGTTAAAGCCCTGATGGGCATGGCACACCCCGTTAAAGCCCGGATGGGCATGGCACACACCGTTAAAGCCCTGATGGGCATGGCACACACCGCTAAAGCCCTGATGGGCATGGCACACACCGTTAAAGCCTGGATGGGCATGGCACACACCGTTAAAGCCCGGATGGGCATGGCACACACCGTTAAAGCCCTGATGGGCATGGCACACACCGTTAAAGCCCTGATGGGCATGGCACACACCGTTAAAGCCCTGATGGGCATGGCACACACCGTTAAAGCCCTGATGGGCATGGCACACACCGTTAAAGCCCGGATGGGCATGGCACACACCGTTAAAGCCCTGATGGGCATGGCACATGCCGTTAAAGCCCTGATGGGCATGGCACACACCGTTAAAGCCCTGATGGGCATGGCACACACCGTTAAAGCCCTGATGGGCATGGCACACACCGTTAAAGCCCTGATGGGCATGGCACACACCGTTAAAGCCCGGATGGGCATGGCACACACTGTAAAAGCCCGGATGGGCATGGCACACACCGTTAAAGCCCGGATGGGCATGGCACACACCGTTAAAGCCCGGATGGGCATGGCACACACCGTTAAAGCCCTGATGGGCATGGCACACACCGTTAAAGCCCTGATGGGCATGGCACACACCGTTAAAGCCCTGATGGGCATGGCACACGCCGTTAAAGCCCTGATGGGCATGGCACACACCGTTAAATCCCTGATGGGCATGGCACACACCGTTAAAGCCCTGATGGGCATGGCACATGCCGTTAAAGCCCTGATGGGCATGGCACACACCGTTAAAGCCCTGATGGGCATGGCACACACCGTTAAAGCCCGGATGGGCATGGCACACACCGTTAAAGCCCGGATGGGCATGGCACACACCGTTAAAGCCCTGATGGGCATGGCACACACCGTTAAAGCCCGGATGGGCATGGCACACACCGTTAAAGCCCTGATGGGCATGGCACACACCGCTAAAGCCCTGATGGGCATGGCACACACCGTTAAAGCCTGGATGGGCATGGCACACACCGTTAAAGCCCGGATGGGCATGGCACACACCGTTAAAGCCCTGATGGGCATGGCACACACCGTTAAAGCCCTGATGGGCATGGCACACACCGTTAAAGCCCTGATGGGCATGGCACACACCGTTAAAGCCCTGATGGGCATGGCACACACCGTTAAAGCCCGGATGGGCATGGCACACACCGTTAAAGCCCGGATGGGCATGGCACACACCATTAAAGCCCGGATGGGCATGGCAAACACCGTTAAAGCCCGGATGGGCATGGCACACACCGTTAAAGCCCGGATGGGCATGGCACACACCGTTAAAGCCCGGATGGGCATGGCACACACCGTTAAAGCCCTGATGGGCATGGCACACACCGTTAAAGCCCTGATGGGCATGGCACACACCGTTAAAGCCCTGATGGGCATGGCACACACCGTTAAAGCCCTGATGGGCATGGCACACACCGTTAAAGCCCGGATGGGCATGGCACACACCGTTAAAGCCCGGATGGGCATGGCACACACCGTTAAAGCCCGGATGGGCATGGCACACACCGTTAAAGCCCTGATGGGCATGGCACACACCGTTAAAGCCCTGATGGGCATGGCACACACCGTTAAAGCCCTGATGGGCATGGCACATGCCGTTAAAGCCCTGATGGGCATGGCACACACCGTTAAAGCCCTGATGGGCATGGCACGCACCGTTAAAGCCCGGATGGGCATGGCACACACCGTTAAAGCCCAGATGGGCATGGCACACACCGTTAAAGCCCTGATGGGCATGGCACACACCGTTAAAGCCCGGATGGGCATGGCACGCACCGTTAAAGCCCTGATGGGCATGGCACACGCCGTTAAAGCCCTGATGGGCATGGCACACACCGTTAAAGCCCTGATGGGCATGGCACGCACCGTTAAAGCCCGGATGGGCATGGCACACACCGTTAAAGCCCGGATGGGCATGGCACACACCGTTAAAGCCCTGATGGGCATGGCAAACACCGTTAAAGCCCGGATGGGCATGGCACACACCGTTAAAGCCCTGATGGGCATGGCACATACCGTTAAAGCCCTGATGGGCATGGCACGCACCGTTAAAGCCCGGATGGGCATGGCACACACCGTTAAAGCCCGGATGGGCATGGCACACACCGTTAAAGCCCGGATGGGCATGGCACACACCGTTAAAGCCCTGATGGGCATGGCACACACCGTTAAAGCCCTGATGGGCATGGCACACACCGTTAAAGCCCTGATGGGCATGGCACATGCCGTTAAAGCCCTGATGGGCATGGCACACACCGTTAAAGCCCTGATGGGCATGGCACGCACCGTTAAAGCCCGGATGGGCATGGCACACACCGTTAAAGCCCAGATGGGCATGGCACACACCGTTAAAGCCCTGATGGGCATGGCACACACCGTTAAAGCCCGGATGGGCATGGCACGCACCGTTAAAGCCCTGATGGGCATGGCACACGCCGTTAAAGCCCTGATGGGCATGGCACACACCGTTAAAGCCCTGATGGGCATGGCACGCACCGTTAAAGCCCGGATGGGCATGGCACACACCGTTAAAGCCCGGATGGGCATGGCACACACCGTTAAAGCCCGGATGGGCATGGCACATACCGTTAAAGCCCTGATGGGCATGGCACACACCGTTAAAGCCCTGATGGGCATGGCACACGCCGTTAAAGCCCTGATGGGCATGGCACACACCGTTAAAGCCCTGATGGGCATGGCACACGCCGTTAAAGCCCTGATGGGCATGGCACACACCTTTAAATCCCTGATGGGCATGGCATGCACCGTTAAAGCCCGGATGGGCATGGCACACACCGTTAAAGCCCGGATGGGCATGGCACACACCGTTGAAGCCCTGATGGGCATGGCACGCACCGTTAAAGCCCGGATGGGCATGGCACACACCGTTAAAGCTCGGATGGGCATGGCACACACCGTTAAAGCCCTGATGGGCATGGCACACACCGTTAAAGTCCTGATGGGCATGGCACACACCGTTAAAGCCCGGATGGGCATGGCACACACCGTTAAAGCCCGGATGGGCATGGCACACACCGTTAAAGCCCGGATGGGCATGGCACACACCGTTAAAGCCCTGATGGGCATGGCACACACCGTTAAAGCCCTGATGGGCATGGCACACACCGTTAAAGCCCTGATGGGCATGGCACATGCCGTTAAAGCCCTGATGGGCATGGCACACACCGTTAAAGCCCTGATGGGCATGGCACGCACCGTTAAAGCCCGGATGGGCATGGCACACACCGTTAAAGCCCAGATGGGCATGGCACACACCGTTAAAGCCCTGATGGGCATGGCACACACCGTTAAAGCCCGGATGGGCATGGCACGCACCGTTAAAGCCCTGATGGGCATGGCACACGCCGTTAAAGCCCTGATGGGCATGGCACACACCGTTAAAGCCCTGATGGGCATGGCACGCACCGTTAAAGCCCGGATGGGCATGGCACACACCGTTAAAGCCCGGATGGGCATGGCACACACCGTTAAAGCCCTGATGGGCATGGCAAACACCGTTAAAGCCCGGATGGGCATGGCACACACCGTTAAAGCCCTGATGGGCATGGCACATACCGTTAAAGCCCTGATGGGCATGGCACGCACCGTTAAAGCCCGGATGGGCATGGCACACACCGTTAAAGCCCGGATGGGCATGGCACACACCGTTAAAGCCCGGATGGGCATGGCACACACCGTTAAAGCCCTGATGGGCATGGCACACACCGTTAAAGCCCTGATGGGCATGGCACACACCGTTAAAGCCCTGATGGGCATGGCACATGCCGTTAAAGCCCTGATGGGCATGGCACACACCGTTAAAGCCCTGATGGGCATGGCACGCACCGTTAAAGCCCGGATGGGCATGGCACACACCGTTAAAGCCCAGATGGGCATGGCACACACCGTTAAAGCCCTGATGGGCATGGCACACACCGTTAAAGCCCGGATGGGCATGGCACGCACCGTTAAAGCCCTGATGGGCATGGCACACGCCGTTAAAGCCCTGATGGGCATGGCACACACCGTTAAAGCCCTGATGGGCATGGCACGCACCGTTAAAGCCCGGATGGGCATGGCACACACCGTTAAAGCCCGGATGGGCATGGCACACACCGTTAAAGCCCGGATGGGCATGGCACATACCGTTAAAGCCCTGATGGGCATGGCACACACCGTTAAAGCCCTGATGGGCATGGCACACGCCGTTAAAGCCCTGATGGGCATGGCACACACCGTTAAAGCCCTGATGGGCATGGCACACGCCGTTAAAGCCCTGATGGGCATGGCACACACCTTTAAATCCCTGATGGGCATGGCATGCACCGTTAAAGCCCGGATGGGCATGGCACACACCGTTAAAGCCCGGATGGGCATGGCACACACCGTTGAAGCCCTGATGGGCATGGCACGCACCGTTAAAGCCCGGATGGGCATGGCACACACCGTTAAAGCTCGGATGGGCATGGCACACACCGTTAAAGCCCTGATGGGCATGGCACACACCGTTAAAGTCCTGATGGGCATGGCACACACCGTTAAAGCCCGGATGGGCATGGCACACACCGTTAAAGCCCGGATGGGCATGGCACACACCGTTAAAGCCCTGATGGGCATGGCACACATCGTTAAAGCCCGGATGGGCATGGCACACACCGTTAAAGCCTTGATGGGCATGGCACACACCGTTAAAGCCCTGATGGGCATGGCACACACCGTTAAAGCCCGGATGGGCATGGCACACACCGTTAAAGCCCGGATGGGCATGGCACACACCGTTAAAGCCCGGATGGGCATGGCACACACCGTTAAAGCCCGGATGGGCATGGCACACACCGTTAAAGCCCTGATGGGCATGGCACACATCGTTAAAGCCCAGATGGGCATGGCACACACCGTTAAAGCCTTGATGGGCATGGCACACACCGTTAAAGCCCTGATGGGCATGGCACACACCGTTAAAGCCCGGATGGGCATGGCACACACCGTTAAAGCCCGGATGGGCATGGCACACACCGTTAAAGCCCGGATGGGCATGGCACATACCGTTAAAGCCCTGATGGGCATGGCACGCACCGTTAAAGCCCGGATGGGCATGGCACACACCGTTAAAGCCCGGATGGGCATGGCACACGCCGTTAAAGCCCGGATGGGCATGGCACACACCGTTAAAGCCCGGATGGGCATGGCACACACCGTTAAAGCCCGGATGGGCATGGCACACACCGTTAAAGCCCTGATGGGCATGGCACATACCGTTAAAGCCCTGATGGGCATGGCACACACCGTTAAAGCCCTGATGGGCATGGCACACGCCGTTAAAGCCCTGATGGGCATGGCACACACCGTTAAAGCCCTGATGGGCATGGCACACGCCGTTAAAGCCCTGATGGGCATGGCACACACCGTTAAATCCCTGATGGGCATGGCATGCACCGTTAAAGCCCGGATGGGCATGGCACACACCGTTAAAGCCCGGATGGGCATGGCACACACCGTTGAAGCCCTGATGGGCATGGCACGCACCGTTAAAGCCCGGATGGGCATGGCACACACCGTTAAAGCCCGGATGGGCATGGCACACACCGTTAAAGCCCTGATGGGCATGGCACACACCGTTAAAGCCCTGATGGGCATGGCACACACCGTTAAAGCCCGGATGGGCATGGCACACACCGTTAAAGCCCGGATGGGCATGGCACACACCGTTAAAGCCCTGATGGGCATGGCACACACCGTTAAAGCCCTGATGGGCATGGCACACACCGTTAAAGCCCTGATGGGCATGGCACACACCGTTAAAGCCCTGATGGGCATGGCACACACCGTTAAAGCCCGGATGGGCATGGCACACACCGTTAAAGCCCGGATGGGCATGGCACACACCGTTAAAGCCCGGATGGGCATGGCAAACACCGTTAAAGCCCGGATGGGCATGGCACACACCGTTAAAGCCCTGATGGGCATGGCACATACCGTTAAAGCCCTGATGGGCATGGCACGCACCGTTAAAGCCCGGATGGGCATGGCACACACCGTTAAAGCCGGGATGGGCATGGCACACACCGTTAAAGCCCGGATGGGCATGGCACACACCGTTAAAGCCCTGATGGGCATGGCACACACCGTTAAAGCCCTGATGGGCATGGCACACACCGTTAAAGCCCTGATGGGCATGGCACATGCCGTTAAAGCCCTGATGGGCATGGCACACACCGTTAAAGCCCTGATGGGCATGGCACGCACCGTTAAAGCCCGGATGGGCATGGCACACACTGTTAAAGCCCGGATGGGCATGGCACACACCGTTAAAGCCCTGATGGGCATGGCACACACCGTTAAAGCCCGGATGGGCATGGCACACACCGTTAAAGCCCTGATGGGCATGGCACGCACCGTTAAAGCCCTGATGGGTATGGCACGCACCGTTAAAGCCCTGATGGGCATGGCACACGCCGTTAAAGCCCTGATGGGCATGGCACACACCGTTAAAGCCCTGATGGGCATGGCACGCACCGTTAAAGCCCGGATGGGCATGGCACACACCGTTAAAGCCCGGATGGGCATGGCACACACCGTTAAAGCCCTGATGGGCATGGCACACACCGTTAAAGCCCGGATGGGCATGGCACACACCGTTAAAGCCCTGATGGGCATGGCACGCACCGTTAAAGCCCTGATGGGCATGGCACGCACCGTTAAAGCCCTGATGGGCATGGCGTCCTCGGAGCTCTTGAGCAGCACCTGCACGGGCGGCACTCGTGCATCCTCCAGCTCCCCACTCTCCCCCATCACCTTCTGCCGCACGCTCGCTGCCACCTCAGCTGCTGCCACCTCCAACTGCCACGTCAGCACAAAGCGGGTGAGAAAGAGGGAGGGAGGAGTGGGGGGAGAGAAGGGAGCACAGAAGCGGGAGAAGCGAGGAGGCGGAGCAGGCAGGCAGAGAGAAAGACGAATACATAACGAAAGACACTCAGAGCGCTCATGAGAAACTAATGCTCTACGTTGAGAAAGACACACGGGCAAGGGAAAGTAGAGCAGGGCAATCAAATTCCATGAGGATCCATGGGGACCCATCCCACCCACCAGCGGCAGCATGTCAGCGGGGCGCGTGCGCATGAGGCGGCACAGCCCCTCCTCCTTGCTCGCCAGGTCCTCCAAGTCCACCTCCACCACGCCGCCCCCCTCCTGCAACCGCTCCCTGGAGCAACCGCGGGTGATGGGGGAGTGGGGAAAGACAGGGGGGAGAGACGGTGTGCTGTTAGCCGCCCCCAAACCGCCACGTGCTCCGGATCAACCTCCACCACGCCACCCCCTCCTGCACCCGCTCCCTGCGGAATGGGGGCAAGGGGGGTTGCCGTGGGAGGAGGGGAACGGGACACGGCGGCGTATGATGCTGTGCAGCCCCGGCGGCCATGTGAGCCCCGGTCATGAGAGGCAGGAACAGGCGGGATAAGAGGAGGGAAGTTGCGAGTAAGGAAGGGCGCGGACCGCATGTAGGGAAGGCGCACGGCGCGCAGGGGACGACGGGAACCTCACGGCGCGGATCCGTCGGTTTGTGAGGGATTTTAAAGCCCAGCTGGTCGCAGGGAAGGGAGGGGCCCACGTTGAACGGGGGCGGGGACCGCACGGTGCGAGGTGGCCTGCTGTGCTGTGCTGGTAACGGCAGCGGGTTACCGCACGCGGCGCACCTGTAGATAAAGCGGTCATGATACTGCGGATCGTGGAAGTTTCGCACGAACTCGCGAAGCTTCTTCTGCGCGGCGTATCGCGTGATTCCCGCGTCGCCCAGCGCGTCGTCGCCGGCCGGCCCTTCCGACTCGGGGAACGACTGGTTGCTGTAGAACACCTGTCCCTCGTCCCACCCTGACATGGCGGCTGCTGATTGGCGCGTTAGAAGAGGTATGAGAGAGCTGATTTTCCAGCGTACGCGACGATTTCGTGGAGCTAACTGGAGCGACGTGATTCGGTCTACTGTCAGGAGTTCGTTTGTGAGACTCGTGCGCATCGACGCTTGGCTTGTGATTGATTGAGTCGTGGGAGTGAGGGAAGTCTTAGGGCGCGTCCCTTCTTTCGATTTTGCAAGATCGACCGAGCTACACCGATTGTTTGCCGCACTAACGCATTAAAAAGTTTTGAAAAGGTTTATTACCACGTTGACATTCGATCCTCCGCAGGGTCGACTGTGCAAAAACGAGAGAAGTGACGCGTCGTGACAGCGCGGGAAATGCTGTAACTCGTTACTGGCTTCTGACACGGTTCGACAGAGTGTTTGACACATTTTGTGCACATCCAGGAGTGTAGCATAAGCATTTCTTCTACGTGAAATTAACTGAAACATGTCAGAAAGGGTAACAAAATCATACGTTGCATGCTTCCCAGCGAATCAAGGTTCTCCATATTAAATTTGATACCATCAATAACAAATGTGGATGCATGAATGTTTCTAATGCATTCATTTACAACGGCGACACCGACAATAGCGGTGACACTAGCGACAATGACGACAACGGCGACATCGGCAACAACGGCGAGATCGGCAACAACGGCGACAACTGTTGGAATAACCGAAAGGTTATTATAAGCATTCCCGAAGGCTTCTCCCTAACGCGTCAGTTCTTAACAGAACAACGCACTGCACCAGTACCGCAATAGCTCACATAGAGCACGCGGAAGGTCGAGAGTCACCCGAAGGTCAACAGTCGAAGACAGTCAACGGTCGTGACTCTCGACCGACCAGTAACCGCACGACATTTGATCGCTGCAACATGGTAACTGTCGAGAATAACAATAGTCGTGGTTACTGTAGTCATGCAATACAGTTAATAAGAGAATGTACTCCTCAGAGTACATGGCTAGCTAGTTTGCTATTCAAACCCCGGTACTTTGTTAATAATCATCTTGATCTCTTTCAACTTATAAACAAGGTCACCACTAAGACTTCATTATCTTCCAGTAAGCTAGACAGACTTATCATATCCACTACGATCCTTCAGTCGCAACATCATTGTTTCAGAGCTAGAGTGGATTATAAGGCCTGCTAAATCTCTGTTCTTCTTAAAACAATCTTAAAATAAAAAATAAAAAAATCACTCAATACATTACAAGTCTGCATCACTATGGCTTATGAAGAGAAAGCTACTCCAGACTCTCTGGGCCCACCACCAGCAACAACCAATGCGCCATCAGCGGTAACCTTCGTCAACGCCGCTGTCGTCGAGCAACTAGTCGCTCGCATCAACGCTCTTGAGAGCCATCAAGCCATGAGCATCGATAGCTCGAGCTACGCAAGAGGAGTTGCTGGACTTCCTCTCCTAGAGAAGACCGTCGCGTCAACTCCGAGAGATCCTTCACCTTTGACAACCGTCAAGCTTCAGCTCCTACGCAAGACAGTCAACAACGCAGTCACTCAGACACAATCGCGACAATGCAAACAAAGTTCGTTATGACTTCGAAGCTGAAAGACATCAGTTCCCTTCGACGGAAAGGATTTCTACATGTGGAGCTTCGAGTTCGAGCTCCTCGCGACAACCGCGCAAATCTGGATGTACTACGATGGGAGCTTACCGTTTCCGACGGAAGGCACCATCCAAGAGAAGAACCAGTACTATCGCGAATATTCGCGTAGACCACTCTCCTCCGGAACCTCTCCCCCTCCGAGCAGCTCGGCATTCGCTCCTACTGTCAGAGGTCCACTGGTGATCCCCGATTGATCCTAGGGAAGGGATACAGGCACGTTGGCCTGGGGGGTTATGGGCGCACTGACCCGCTACTTAACAAGCCCTTTTATCCCAATGGTCTAGTGGTTGGGATTCTGACATGGTATCAGAGCGAAGGTCTCGGGTTCGAATCCCAGTGTATGCACTTCGGGCATCCCAGTGCGGGGGGGTGTCAGAGGTCCACTGGTGATCCCCGATTGATCCTAGGGAAGGGTTACAGGCACGTTGGCCTGGGGGGTTATGGGCGCACTGACCCGCTACTTAACAAGCCCTTTTATCCCAATGGTCTAGTGGTTGGGATTCCGACACCTACAAGTCAGAATGGGCGCCCACGTACACCTCTTGGGAGCACCTGCACAACTCATACATGGCAACAGATCCTGTCACAACGAGTCGTCTACTCAGCCAGCTTACATCGGTTAAAATGCAACAAGGGGAGAAAGCGAGACCGTATATCAATCGGTGCCGCAATCTACGTGACCACATCAAGAAGTGCAGCGGAATTGTCCCTGACGACATGTTCGTCTTGATGGTTCTCTCTGGCCTCAGACTCGACTGGCGCCAATGCCAATCATTGCTTCGTGCTCGAGCAACCATCTCTGAATCGGCCTTACGCGCCACGCTTCTCTCCGAGCAAAAGGAGATCAACCCGTACAATGAGAAGAACTACAAACGCGAGAAGTTAGTCTTCTATGCTGGAGCGGCTGAAGGGGAGCAACACGTCAAGAAAGGAACGTTCTGCAAATACTACAAGAAGCCCGGGCACACTATTGATCGGTGCTACAAGCGTAAGGCAGCCGACGAAAGACGCAACAACTCTTCCAATCAGCAGCCTTCAGCATCCTCGGCTGTTACAACATCGACCGTGTTACCGCCTTCCATCGCGAGCACGTCCCAGGCTCCTACGCGCATTACGATCAAAGACAAGGGCAAGGGGTCAATAATGAGCTACATGGCGCGACGTCGCAGAGAGAACCGATACTTTGATGGCACCGAGTTACCACCTATCGCACCCATTAACCCCGTCGCACCCAGTCAAGATAACAATCCCACCGTTCATCGCTGGATCAATCGTCCATCCAATATCCCACTTGATTTCGAGTTGCCTCCGCCAACGCCAGAGTTCCCTCCCAGCATTTCCGCGAGACGATACATCGACCTCTCACCATACACTGGAGACATCGACCGTGTCGTCACTCCGAAGATTGCCGGGATTGCACGACGAAATTGCGAAGACATCAACATCTGGTACCTGGACAGCTGCTGTGGGCAACACGTGGTGGGATCACCGACATTCATAAAAAAATCAAAGCGCATGAGGCGACCATGCGAGATTACCGTCGCCAACAACGGACGCCTCAAAGCCTATGCCATCGGGGAAGTCTGTCTTGAAGTTGAAGATACTCAATTCACGATTCACATCGGCGATGTACTGGTTGCTCCGGATCTTCAGTACAATCTGCTCTCTTCGGCGCAGCTCATGCGGTGCGGAGTTGACATTCGCAGCAACTGCAAAGACAAGACCTTCGAACTTTACTACAAGAACACTTACATCGGCAAGGCTGATGATGGCGACGGGGTCTTCATTCTTAACTTCTCGGCTCAAGGCACCACTGACGATTCGCATCGCACCCTTCTTTTGAAGACCACTCCCACAGATCCGCTGTCCTGGTCACACCCCGAGGAAATGGATCTCGAGCGACGTGCTTCCGATAGTCTTCTACGATTACGCAGTGTCCCAACAGCATCAACCTCCAATCCAGGCAATACCGGACCTGCAATCATGGAAGAAGAAGAGGAAAGTGGCAAATCAGGAAGTGCAGAACCGCTCGTCGAAGAAAGCACACTAGCTCAAGCAACTGAATCTCCCGGTCCCGTAGTCGGCTCGTTGGGAGAAGCTCTAATGCAAGAAGAAGCGGCCACAAGCGGATTGGGCGTTGTCTCAGCATCGGAAGAAGGCAGCCCCACTGCTACGACAGAAACCGGCGCTGCCACCAGAGGTGACTGGGGAACCGGAGGTAGCTGGGGAACCGGAGGTGGCTGGGGAACTTCAACTGAAGGCGGATGGGGACAACCAGCTCCCGCCTATTCCGAAGCACCAAGACTCGCTCCTGCAGATGTCGCGGCAGTCGATCCGTATTGGGCACCAGCTGGGGCGGACCTTCTCTTCCAGACCAATACACTCCTGACACACCAGAACCAATCCAAGAAGAGTCAGAGGAAGAGGTGACTTATGAATTCTTCGGGGGAGCAGCAGAGTTACCAGAACCTACCAAGGAGCCGCCGCCACCAGAACAAGGGCCAACAGATCGAGGTCATCGGCGCCGAGTACAGCTACTTCAGAATTCCCATGAAAGGACTTCTCGTCGCCGACTGGCCGAAGGCGCCACCATCTCAGTATCTTCTTGTCACCGGCGAGCAAGTTCACGCCGGCGACACCGACGACATCATTGGAATTCCCCGCGCGCTTCTGGAACGGGACTCCATTCGGGCCTTCGCAGCTGACACCGACGTCGCCAGCGACACAGGACCTGGAAAAGAGCAGAACGACACAGCAGAGAGGAACGAATACTATCAGAAGACCGTCGGCTACTGTGCAGAAACGGAAACCTGGCATCAGCGGCTCGGCCACCCCTCACACGCCACGCTAAAAAACTCACTCAAGGCTAGCGTCTTTGACGACGGAGCACTGCTTCTTCCTCGCGGAGGATCTCTCACAGTGGACTCAGAAGACCCACCATGCACCGTGTGCCCAGCCGCGTCGCTCACTCACAAACCATTTCCTGACTTACCCCCCGGCTACGAACGCTACAAGCCGCTCGACAAAGTTTACAACGACTTTATGAACCTCAGCCAGTAAGGGCTCGACGGCGAAAACTATACGCTTACCTTCATTGACGCAAGCACCCGCTACGTCTGGGCCATCAACACCGACTGTCGCTCCTTGGCCTTGGAGTGTTTCATCGAATGGATGAAGCGGGCTGAACGACAATCAGGATTGAAGCTGAAAAGTTACCAAACAGACGGAGCCCTAGAGTTCTTCTCGACCGAGTTCACGGAGCTCTTCAAGCAGAAAGGGATTGAACACCTGGTGTTTCCGCCCTACGCTCACGAGCAGCAAGGCATAGCAGAACGGACAAACAGGAGCCTCGCT